AATTGCTCCAAATCGCTAACACTACTAGTGCGTCCTCTAGCCCATCAGCTCTAATTGCCATAGATTTGGTTTACAATAATTAAGAACCTAAAAATATGTTAAAATCACATTCTCAAGTCAAGACCGAAATATCTTTTTATAAGATAAAAATAATTGGTAATTCGTGGGGTTCAAAACCTCCTAAAACCAAATAACCAAGAAAGATAGGAGACGTGGAATGACTACTAGATCAAATAATCAATCTAATTCTTAATTCTTAAGGTATTTAATTACGAACTATGACCAGAACATTACATGGATTTGAAATTTTTACAGCACTTGATTAGACATGCCGTGGGATCTAAACTCATTACTATCTAAAGATTTTTAAAGATTTTGTTCTTTATATAACTTAATTTTAAGGAACCTTTCAACTCCCCAGCCGTTTCCGGTTAAGAAGATGTGAAAGCGCCTCTCTCTATATAAATATAAGAACGATGCGTTCCGAGGTGTGAAGTGGGAAATGAGGGTTTTCATAATTGGATTGGGGTTTTGAGTAAGACGACTTTTTCTTTTTTCTTTTTCATTTTGATTTCTTGTTGAACAAAAGTCTGGTAAGTATAGATCAATTATCGACTTTAAAATCTAATTATTTGAACTTAGATAGTTGAAAATGGTAGCCACACTACTCACTGACTTTATACCTAATATTTTCATGGTCTCTTGAAAGTGTCAACGGAGTCTAGTCCAATGAAAAAGGGTCTTAATTTGCATACTAGAGGTCTTAGGTTCAAACACTCACGACATCTTAGTTATGTTCGTGTGTGTGAGAAACTTTCATCTCCTGTAGCTTGGAGTATCACTTGTACTTAAAAAAAACTGATAGATGGAGGTAAACCAATCTTCCATTGTACAGCAGGAGAGGACAAGAGTTCTTTAACCCTACAAGAATAAGGCTGCCAACTGTTATTCAAGGCCCGCCTTTAGGATGAAAATGAAAAGGATAAGACCTAACATTAAGGTCACTAAAAACTCCACAATTATGGAAGGCGGTGGCTTTTGACATGGACTCCCCAATATGATTAGGTCCTAACATGCAATTAGTAGGTTAAACTTGAACCAATTCTTGATATAAAAAATTAAGTATATGTTTGATAATAATTTCAATTTCAGTTTTTAGATTTCATTTTTTGTGCTAAAGTATAGAGGAAAAAAAGGGAAAACCTCATCTCCATTCTCACCCTCACTTTCATTCTCACTCTCATTTTCTTCTATACTCTAACATAAATAAAAAATAAAAAATAAAAAAAACTTTTTTTTTAAAGAAATGGTTATCCAGACCATAAATTAATTCATTTTTACACAGTTTATGAGCAAGTTATATTCAGCAAATCCTACATCAGCTTCATGTGATGACAAGAACCAGCTGTCCAAATTTGCTACCTACGGGTGGGTGATAAAAGCTATAATAGGAATAAAAGAGGACATGAAAGGATTTAATTTAATGTGCCATTTGGCAATTTGGATGAGATATTGATCCAAAGATTTTGACCATTTTATTGAGGGTATTTGAGGGATATTCTTTGGGCCTTTTATAAAAATAAATAAATAACGATCTGAATTATTTATTTTTCAAGGCATTTGTATCTAATTGTGATTAATAAAATAGATGAACATGACGCTTTAAGAAAGCACTAAAATGGCATCATGAATTAAATGATCAAAAGATTTTGAATTCAAGTGATTTTTTGGCAGAGATGATATTTGAATGAATACCTAAAATATAGACAGTTCAAATGATTGAAATACAATACGAGTGGACCCTACAATGGTGCATGTTTACTAATATGTACTTGGATTAGGAGGAATTAAATTGAGGATAAATTGAATTAAGAAGGTGTTGGATTGAGGAAAATTAGATTCTGGATTCCTATCGAAATTGTTTATTAAACCATATAAATTGAGGGGAGTTAGATTCCGGATTTCTATTGAAGTTGTTTACTAAATCATATGAAATTGGAGTATAAGTGATGCTAATTACTAAAATATCCTTGTTGTTGGGTTAAAGTAGATGGCAGGAATCCTCCATATGTAGAATTCAATTTCTGATGAGAATTCTAATTTCTAATTAATAAACACAAAATAAATTCATTTCAATTTAGTATTAGGGTTAACATCCATGACCCTATCTCAACCACCAGCCGAGGGTATGGACCCTTCGACATCGCTAGTGCTTTTATAACGTTTTAGAAAGGTGGGATTAGTCTCTTTCAAGCCTGTCCATCCATTGGGACAATACATGAGGGCATGTTGTAGAATAATCCACAAATACTAGTTTCTTTCGTCATAAAAGGCATTGATAAGATTAGGGTTTGTCACGACTGGCAGTGACAATGAGACTAAATGGGAGGAGCAATCATGGGAGAAAGATGAAATCAATGGTCGTGATTTTTTTCCAGCTGCCAGTCCAATGGGAAATTTTTGGATCTATTAGTTATAACTTAAAAAAGTTTATGACAGGCTGAAAGTTGAGGCTATCAAACTCACTATTGATTAGGTAGAAAATCTATTTGCGATAAGTGACATATTAACGTAATTTGAACATGCATATTAAATGGTTAGAAGTAGACTGATTGAAACTTATCTTGCGTGATCGCAAAATGTGGATTTGTGTGCAAGTTTTATGATGATCATTGAATTTATGAAGAGTGTGACCGTAACATCATCATATAATATTATTAGTTAAACATATTATAATATAAACAGATTATAACACTATGTAACAGCTTTACGGTCATAGCGCAAAATCTCTAGTTATTTCGGAGGGCGGGAAGCAAATTACTCTGGTCTACTGGAGGTAGGAAGAAATTTTTGTCGACTTGGGATTTGTTAGGTTGAGGCTAGAAATGAACCCCAAGCTTAACCCAGTAATTATAAGTTCTAGTCCAAATACAACCTTCTCAACCTTGTCCAGAATCTCCTGATCCATAATAGTTTTTGGTGATTCTAGCCATTAACATGTTTTTTTTATAAAGATAATAAACCATTAACATGTTGAAGTGTTTTAATATGTCATGTATTTGTAATTTATAATAACCGAACACAGAGCTTCACCCATTTAATTCCTCTCAGCTTGTAAAATTTGGCGATATACGCAAAATAAAATTCCAGAATAGAAAAATGCATAGAGACATATTATGTTGAAGGTTTGAAGCCAATACAAACCTTTACCCATATAACTTATCTTAATTTGTAACAATTTATGTGTCGATGTGGAAATAGAATCCAAGAATATGAAAGCAGATAGAAAGATAAGACAGCTTATGTCTGAAATTGACTAGAACAACGCTCTTCGCACGGTACTATCATCTCCTTCGGGCAAATCTCTGCCCAGCTCCAAGTAACAATCCTTTCCCAATCGCGCCTGTGTGAAGTCCGCAAACCAGTGCCACAGTTCCACCTATAACTATCCATTTCCAATCAATCCCATTGCCATTTTGTCTTGTATTTTTTAGGGTTTGACCTTTTTCTTCTTCACCAGATGCTGGCTCCAAATAATTCATGCTTCCATCAGAGGACACCTTCGTGGTGATTCTAGCCATCAGGGCACATTTAGATGGAGATGCCTCTGATTTCCTCGCATTCTGGTATGCTCTCATACCAGAGTGTAATTTCTTGACAGTGCACCACATCCCATGACGGACACCCAACTTTGCCACATCTTTTGGGATCCCCATGTCTTCGTAGTGTACGAGGGTAACCTCACATGCAGATAACTGTCCATCCCCCTTCCGAGACTCGACTGCATTTATTTTTCAAATACAGCAAATGAGTATAAACCATTACATTGTCGCCAAGATTGACCAACTTCTTGTTGCAAAATCAGATTGTTAACCAACAATTCTTACCAGCCTTGATAATCCAACTAGAGAAATAATGTTCCACACGTCTGGGCTTGTCACGCTTAGGCAAACCTGGATATGGAACACCCTGCAATTTTGTAGCTCACACAATAAGACTCACAAACATATGAATTAAACCTGGTTATATATTTTATCTGCAAAATATAGTACACATGATGCTCTCTTAATATGGACAGAATAAATCAAATGCACAGCATGTAGAGATGAGCAAAATTATACTACAGAAGAAAGAAAGAAAAAATCATGTCTTGACTTCCAGGTTTCATGGTTTTGTTTTGTTCTCCAACTTTCAAATCTAACTCAAGTAAACCTGCCTGACCCATTCTTGTACTCCTTCGACAATGTGTGCCAATCAAATCAAACCACTTTCTTTTCAGTTACACTGGTTTAGCTTTTCTGATGATCAATTAGATTCAATCCAACACGTCTCAGATCTATCCTATGTTTGACTCATATCTGACCCTAGGTTTTTTTTTCTTCTCTAAGGTGAAAAATATGGAATTGCTCGCTATTACAGATCGCCATCCGTGTTTTTACAAGACCAACACAATGTCCTCTCTCGCTAAGTAAAAGAAGCAATTGATGAAAGAAAGCTATAATGCAAGCAACAATGAGGATAAGCTTTAACAAGTACCTTTGTCACACAATAATAAGTTTTTCCAGCCTCCCATATTCTTCGACCAATTAAATATTCCCGATCACTGCAGAAAAAAGGGAACTGCATCGCAGAGAAACAATGTGGAAAACAATCATTCATATTTTCAACTAGAAAGAGATACAAGGAAAGCATGGAATCAGCATACAATTGCCTAAATCCTTTGTTCCACAAACCTTTTTAATCCAGTGAACAATCGTAGTTCCAGTCTGAGGGCATTCCTCCAATATCTTACAATATGTAAGCATTGGATCCCATTTAGGTCGAAACTCATCATCCCAGAAGAAATCTCTGACCAACTCGTGAGTTGCATCCTCAAAGACAGTTCTACTACAGTATACAGTGGGGCCTGTCTGATAAGCAAAACCACTATAAGATACTAAACAAGAATCAGGGTGACTGAAATAGCTACATGAATCATTTTATTAAGCAATAAGAGAAAGGAAATTATAGCCAACAAATTTGTTAGGCATAAACGGACAACTAGATTTGAGAATATATGGAAAAAGGAATAACATATGTGCTTCTACAACTTCTGCAAACAAGATTGGCTAGAAGAACATCATACATGAAGATGTAGATGTCAATTGAGGATTATAAAAATATATGTGAAAAAAAAGCAACAGGTATACAAAATAGACATCCCTGCCATTAACAATTTCTTGATAAAACAACTATTTACATGTTGATAGTTCTCAGACAGATGTTTTCAGCAGATGAAACACAGAACTTAAATGCTAAAGGGGAGAAAAGGTCAAAGTCAGAATCTACCTCAGGATCATGACGCCATGCTTTGTAAGCCATGCTCGGGGTAGACCTCTCCATCAAACTTTGCCATTCCATCTCTCCATCTCTCCCTCCAATTAAATTCACTAGGTGCTCCAAATCAGTTTCTGTGACAACATCCTGGACTCTCTTGGCACCTCTAGTGATGGATCTGTGAGAAGCGAAGTTATCATGAGGCAATGAATCAATGAAAGAGACATCAATATTCCAAGCACAAGCACAACAGTTTTCAAGGCAACAATAAGTGACAACAAAAACAGTAAAATTATAAGGGTCGCAACACCTATACAACTAATAAAAGGGGTTACTCTTTGATTTCCAATGTCTACTCAACAAAAGAAAATACTTCTTGCTTCTCAAGTGAATTAAAGAGTACATAGTAATCTGACATCCCCAGCAAACTAGACTAACATAGCAGTAATAATACAAATAGCCCCAGTAACATTAATAACCATCCAACCCGAATGAAAAGATTGTAAAAATCCCATCATAAAGAAGAAAAAACCAAAAAGCCATTCAAAATTCTAACATCATTCTAACATCACAACCAACTTTGGAATAGGCAATTACTCTGTAAAACCGAAAGGCCATTAAAAATCACAGAGTTCAGCCAGTTCCACAAAATTCCAAGTGCGTTCTAGCCCTAACCGGTCAGCCAACATATGTATGGCTTCTTGCGTATCTGCCCAACAAATACGGAAGTCATTTAACTAAATCTTTTGGAAGTCCTTAAATTTGTGTTTTCAGTATGTTAAAAAAGTATGACTAGATTACATCTTCAAACTAATATGTCCTCCACTACACGAATTACATATTTAAAATGTTGAACAACAATATCGAATATCAAAATACATTGACAAAAGAATCCGAAAACATCAAATTCAAAATTTTAAAAAACCTATAAACTCAGGCGAAACCGTAACACAATTCAAATATGTTTACAAAGTTTTACTATTGAAAGCTGAAACAGCTAGATACTCACCCAACAATGTCGGTGCCGTCGGGTGAAAGCTTCGGCGGGGCTAGGGAAGCCGAAGACGGGGCAAGTTTGCCTTTACTCTTGAAATTGGACCAAATCGTACGGCAAATGGAGAAAGCGGAGAGCGCCGTGAAAGCGAGCCAGAGCCGGCGAGCGCCGAAGCCCGGCGGCGCGGTCCAGAGGAACCGGACCTTGCTCCGAAGCCCAAGGAAGAGGAGGCCCGTCCACCTGGGCCTCCATGACCACCCGATCACCAAGCCTATCATGACGGCCAACCATATCGGGACTGCGCAGAGCAAAATGTCGACAAATGTTTCGGTTATCGAGGGTTTTGTGAAGAACTCAACCACATACTCCACCAGATCGTAGATCATCGCCTCCATTTTCTTTGAACCGAGTTTTTCCGAGAAAGTGTTTTCCCGAGAAAATGAGAGCTCAAGAAAACGGACCTACATCGGCGTTCGATGACCGATCCCTTCGATCCAATAGAATTAGGAAGAAGAGGAGAAAGGTAGAAAAATTCTAGAGAGAGAAACAGCGAGAGTTTCAGGCGGTTGTACGGTGATAGGACGTGGCAACGTCAGGACCGTTGATGGAGGTTGGGCTGGGTGTGAGTTGTGTTTCGTACGTTAACTTTTTGGAGCGTGGATTGTCTGGTATGCAGATTTTTTTGGCAGGTGAGGCACACGAGTGAAACAGAGAGTGGGCGTCTGAGATTGAGGTTAAAGGCCATGTGAGTTTTGGGGATAAGAACTCTTTTTTATTTTTGTGAAGTTAAAGGCCATGACGCTTGAACTGTTTTAAGAGACCTACGGATATTCTTTTGTCGCTTTGTGAAGATCGTGTGCTTCCCATGTAGATGACACATCAGTGGACTTGCAAGTCGTCTTGTGACATCTGGCACAAGTTTTACCTTATTCTTCCCCTCAGCGCCACGTGTACTCCATTCTATTTTTAATTTTTTTATTATTATTGATTGGGTCGGTAAAATAACATTTCATGCATTTTGGGATTTTGGAAATATGTGTTCAATAAAAGTAGTGGTACCGTACTTACGTTCATGGCAATTTATTTAATATATGTGAAGAAAAATGATAGTGAGATAAATTTACTATTAATAGTAGTCATGTTTTATAAAATAAATTTTTATTGTAAGGATATATTCGTATTTTATATGATAACAGTTAGATGGGGTAAATGATATTTCGATGTGATTTGAGTCTTTGCAAAGATAATCTTTAAATAAATGACTTTCAAAATAAACGTGAGTGAACATGAAAGCAATTCAACCCAAATTACAGTCACTACAATTGACTAAGAACGTTTCCACCAGTTGCCTTTGCCAGGGCAAAAAGGGAGCCCAAATCGCAAGTTGGAATTCAAGAGGGCCCACGCTGCCCAGGCAGTAGCTGGGGGTCCTAGCAAACTGGGCCAGTTCAAAGGTAAAAACAGTCTGGACTGTTGTTTGGGTTTGCTGACGTTAGTAATGACATCAGCAACGAATTTTTTATTATAAAAAAACTAAAAATTTCAGAATTTTTAAAAAATAAATACTTAGTAATATTCTTCACTTCTCACACTAAAACTCTATACAAATTCATCTTCTCATATCTTATGTGAATAGTAGTTGTCATGACAATGGTGGAAACACCACAAGCCTTTGCAAGGGCTGTCACTATTCACATAAATAGTAACAGCCCTTATCTTTCCCTTGCCTTTTGTCCTGATAAATGGGTGGAAATGCTCTAATGGAGGCTTTAACGTGCCAAACCGGATATGAGCTGTCTTCATTGCAATATTAGAGTGAAAGTGCGATGCTGTTGTTGTGAGTTGTGACAGTGTTTTGGCATTATCAACAAAATTGTCAAGACACAACATTAATTAATTAGGACTATGATGAGGCATGGGCATTAGATAAAGCATAATATTAAGCCCATTTTCTTGAGTCTGTCCATGGGCCAGGACTTTGATTTCGAAAGGTGAAAAGTAGGACTGGGCATTTCAGACTGAAAACTGATCAAATTGGCCAAATTGGACCGATCAGTCTGGTTTTTTTTATATTATTTTTGTTGAATTTTCGGCGTTGAACCGAACTCTCGTTTAAAGTTTTAAAAGATCTTTTTTTAAAAATTCTAAAAATTGAACATTTTTCATTTCACATCTCGCTTGCTTGAAGGTTCTCTAAGATGATAAATGGCACATTATTAACATAATACATTTATATATAGAAAGCTATTGAAAGGAAGTTTCCGAGGCTAACACAACTTTGTGTTTGCAAAAATGTAGTGATTGTGATGCCCAACAAAATTCTCTCTTTCGCTCTTTGAAAATGGACTTTCCAAAGCATTTTAATTTGCTATTGAACACTTTATAGAATTTTTAAATGGTCAATCACAAAAAAGCACACAAAAGTATATGGAGAGGAAAAGAATTCCAAATGGCTTTATCGAGCATAGGAATTACTTTATATCCTACATACTCAAGATGTCTCTCCTCTTTTGACTCCCCTGGGGATTACAAAGTATAAACTTGACACAATATCTTCTGTGGTATCTCAGGATCCAAATTTGATGTTAATTCTCTTATGATTGTACGGTTTAATAATGGTCGCCAAAATCAATGAAAAGGATAGAACATGATTTGGGTTTAGCTATATCAATTATATATCTTATGTAAATATCTAAAAATGTGTTTTTGTTCCACACGCTTCCTCACATAAGTTAACAATGTGAAAAACATCATAAACGGTGAATTTCACGTTTACTTTTATGAACGGATCCGGCGCAATGTGCCAGAAGTAAATAAATTTTCCTCTAAGATTAGTAGAGCAGTAAGATGCTAATTCAGGTGAACAGCTATTCTGTTTGACAATTGATCTTTTTTAATGGATTATTTTTTTTGACAATTAGCCCACACATTGAGTGCTTCACTGGCACCCTCCTCAGAAGGACTGTATGAAGCATGCATATATGGCCCCTCATATACTATAGCAAACAGTTTCCACATTCATGAGGCTCACAATAAGCCATCTCTGATCAGGCCCCTACCCAGACTAAGATTTAACTGCATAACTTTATGTAGCATTCTCATTTTCAGAAACATATGAGTACAGATTCAAGTAGATACATTAGTACTTGTAAGGGCATTAAATAAAACCACATGGTATGTGGGGGCTTAGGCTAATTTAGTATTGGTTTTTCTTTTTCTTTGTTGATACAACCGGTACTATAAAAAGGGGGAATCGAACTTAGGATCTTGAGTGCAAGAATAAATGGTCTTAAGTAACTACTTGATCTACAAGCCCCCGTTATAGTGTTAGTTTTTCATGCAGAAGTGGGATCTGACCCACATGGGATTTTATCGAAAGGGAGGAATATATTATATGGGGTAAGACTATAAGGAGTTGGGTTATGATGATGGCAGTCATAAGGTGAAAAAAGGAGTGAATTCAAAGCTCATCTTCATGCAACACATAAAGTGAAAGCTCTCCCTTGGCTTATATTCTTTGCAACTCCCCACAAGCAAAGCCAAATTGGCAGAAAAGTTCAACCCCAAAAAAGATGATACATTCACATACACAAACAAAACTTTGTTTTTATTTCTTCCTTTTCATTCAGTCATATTTTCACACAAGCCCCTATCACTGTTTTTCAACACACTGAGTAGAAACATATAGAATATGCACAAGGGTTGCATTTGAAAACAAACCCAGATGAAAATAGTTTTTTATTATTATTTTGGTTTGTCTCATCATCCAATTTGTCAAACATTTTGGCATACAAATAATGGATGTAATCGATCTTAGACTAATTCTCATATGCTTTACTGGACTAGATGTAAACCAGAAGAAATTAGTCCTACTTTAATTTCTTCTCCTCTCATTAAAAGAAGTGAGTGATTCTTGGTTGAGTTTGCTTTAAAGTAAAAACTACAAGGCCTGTGAATCTGTGATACATTACCTGTCCGGACTGAAAATCTTCTCATTTTGTTTCATTGTTCTTATTTTTCTTCAAATCCCATTTTTGGCTGTAAATGAATGGATGGAGAAAAGTAAACATTGAATGATAATACAAATGTTAAAAAGAAAAGGACAGATATGCAATATATATACTTACATGTTGAAATGGAACAAGATTGTCGAAAGCTCTCGGCATCAGGACATTGATCAATGATGCATAAAAAGGGTGTACATATGATCAATGGTCAGTAGGAAGGAATGTATTGCAGGCTTGTTTTGTGTTGGGGGGAATGAAGCCTGGTCCGAGATCATTCGGATGATCATGTTCTTTGCTTCAAAGGAATGGTCTCGAACCAGACAGCATTCCCCTCAACTATTTGTGACTCATTTGATCCACAGAGACAGAGAGAGAGAAAGAGAGAGAGAGAGACAACTGTTTGTGTATAGATTTTTATTTGGCCATGCATTGGTTTTCATGGGGCCTTTATATACGTGAAGATGAGAGGAGTGTCTTATGTGGGTCAGGTGACATGGTAGTGCCACTTTCCACGGCTTCCCTGTCATGCTTATTTGCTTTTCACAAAGCATTGGAAATCAATTTTAGGCTCCATTTGGTGTTAGTACCTCTCAGCCCTTTGGAGGAGGTTTAAAAAAGAAGGCCAAGTTGAGTAAGAAAAATAAAGAAATTTCATTTATTTCCTTACCTAATTTTGTTCGCTTCAAAGACAAGAAATTTTCTGCTGAAAAAAATAATAATAAAAATTTGTTTGTTCTTAGAACCAGAACCACAGCAGTACTAGGAGAAGGGCAAGAGTAAACTTGTCAAAGGGATTGACCATTTGATGTAGTTTGGTGAAAAAGATGAAGACCATTTGTTATTGACAATAAATGGCCTCAAATGACGGAGGGACTGGGTGCAGAATTCAAGTCAAAGCAAGAGCTTCTTTTAGCATGTAATTAAAGACAAGAAGAAACCTCTGTTACCTGCCCTGCTCTTTCTTGTAACCTATATGTTATGATTGCTCTGGGATACTCAACAATGATTCTTAAGCTGAAGTTTAATTATCGGATTAGCTTATGGTAATCTTGATTTGGGTGTGTAAAGAGTCAAGGGTGTCTGCCTCTTTTGATTAATTTTCAAATGGGAAGATGGTGTGGATGATAGGTGGAAAAGCCTTCACCGATTAAGGGCATGTCCGTGCCAACGGGGTCTAGTCCAGAGGAAAAGAATCTTGACTTACAGACTATTGGTTTCATGTTCGAACCCCCACGACACCTTGGCAGTGTGTATGTAAGAAACCCCCTTGTCTAACTTTTAGCCAACAAAAAAAAGAAAAAAAAGATTTAAGGGCATGTACATCTCTAAACAGTGTGATTCCAAGCTTAAATGGAAAGAAATTACAGGTTGGCCAGTTAAAGATTAAGCAGATCAACCAAGAAAGGAAAAAAGAGAAAAGAGCAATAGATGGTGAGAGCAGTTATTTGAAGATTTAAAGTTGAATTCTGATATGGGTAGTCAAATTGTTAGACAGAATTTATATCAGACATCTACCAACACATGTTACACATGAAGAAGTGGGTTAAGAAGCAAACATGGCGGTCCTATGCCTTTAATAGATCCCCACATCCTGTTAGGCAAAATATAAGAGGGAAAAATCCTACTGCCCAATGTACTACCAAAAAAAGGACATAAACAATATGATCCTAGAAAACATGCACATGTGATCCATTGATAAATTGATAAGGCAGTAGGTATGAGTTGAGCTGTAAATCGAAGTTATTCCTATCCTGTTCTTACCAAGGTCT